GCACAGCCTCACTCATAATGCAACGATCGCCTTCCGACATGGAAGCTACTGACTCCATCACCAACCGCACTTGGGCCCATGGGAAAGCCTGGCGAAACAAGTCCTGTATGCGTGGGACTTCCTGGTACAGACAGCTTCGTTCATCTCGCAGAGCGCCCTTCTTCGCCGCGTTCAACCCGCTCACCCCCTGACAGGGTGGTCCGGCTCCAAGCAACACCAGCGAAACGGACGGGAACCGCAAAGCCAATCCTTTGACCATCTCCATATCCACTGTCTTGACATCGTCATGAAAAAGGGAGTCGGGGAAGAAGGCTTCCACGACCCTTCTCCCTGTCCCCTCTTTCTCCACACTCAAATGCCCGGCGACAGCAACACCCAGACTGTCCAATGCTAGACGCAAAGCTCCAAGCCCATCAAATAGCCCGACCGACAACACCTGGAAGGTATCTCCCTCCGTCGGGAGATCACCCCGGCTCTCCGAGTTCAACGCGGCCATCCCGTAGCTGGTCAACCCTTCACTGACGCACACACACCTCCACCCGTCGTAGAGGCATCACTGCAAGTCACATGGTCAACAAAGGGACAACGGAAGTCAATCTGAGCCAGTGGCGTGAGTAGAATGAACGTCAGTAGCTCACGCTGAACTGCTTCGGGCACAGGGAGACGAACTACTGGGGGGAGCTTCTTCAGCTGCTCCATGAACCTCCAAACCTCGTTCAAGCCAGCCAGCAAAGGCCTCCGAAACATTGTAAAGTACACGAAGCCTCCACAAACAACTTGCAGCTCCTTCAACATGCACTCGGCTTGTCTCACCAGCATCAATGCCAGCTGACAATACAAGATCACCTTGCTCGGCTTTGGCTGGGCAAACCCTTCCAGGCCATCAACAATCGCGCCTTGGATCTCCGCCACGCCTGACCTTTCAACTGCCTTCTTGGGATGTCGGGGGATCCCTTGAGCACAGTATTGGGTGCGCAAGTTTTGCACCACTTCTGCCACTTGGCCTCTGAGGGCTTGAGCCGTGGGGGGATCGAGCCTTTCAACCAAATCAAAATTATCAAGATAGACCCTGTACTGCGCACTTGAACAACTGCTCACTCGATCTTTCCGCATTTCACACTTCCCTCCAAGACCTCCGGGAGTTTGCTGGCTCCAAGTGACTATATTCCGATGTACGTGCTGCGCAATTGATACACTATTGATGAAGCCCATAGGCAACACGCACGCCGTAAGCACGCAGGGGCGATCTCTCCACTTCGACGGCACCAACGAATCCGGTACTCGCTTATTGAACCCGGTACCTCTTCCACTCTGGCGGTACCTTAAACAAATAAAAGAAATATCAATGCCACTTCACCTTCATCCAACAAGAACGTCCCAAAGCTGCTAATATTCGGGAGAGTTACTACGTCTCCCACGAGAGGTTCGCAGAGCTGGTTGAGCGGGATGAGATTCATGATGAGTCTTTGTGTTTCGACCTCCCCTACGAACTCGCCCTTGCCGACCCCAAACATACCATTCAGCAAAGGCGCCTGGCCGATGTGGAAGAGCTGGTCAATGGGGGTGATGTCGCAAATCTTCTTCTCGATGAGTCCCTCACAGATCGACGGCCAATCGTGACTCGGGGGGCACGCGGACATGTCATGTGTGTGGTATCCAAAAGGTGCTCCTCAAAATGGTCAATGTAATGCAGGGTACCCTGGGTGCAAAAGTCCCGCAACTCCAAACGACCAACCTCATCTGGTAGAGACCCTTGGACACCACGCCGAGTCAATGTCTGAGCGACCCGTACTTCTTCCCCATCATATGTCACCCCTCTCTTGGCGAAAAAGTTCCGGAAATCCAGATCGCTCACTGGTTCCTCCCACACTTTGAAACGTTCACAAAGCCTTCCCAGGTTTTCCACCAACCCTCCAGGCTCTCGCTTTGGTCGGGGTCCATCGCCCTGACCACAGGCATAGAAGTTCAGCCCGTAGGCCATGTCCGCACATGCCAGCTTCGACTTAGGCCATGGATCCAGGGGTAGAGGTAATGGGAAAATATCATCAGGCATGAAGGGTAAATCCTCTACCGTGTTCTGCATGCGCTGACTCTTCAACTCACTGAGCATAGACCTGGCCATGGACATGATCTGCCGGAAGCTCTTCAGTGAAACACCTCTCTGTACAGTCACGGCTGACTCAACTTCGCTCCCACTCTTCGGGAACGATCCCGCCGGTACGACTGAGCAAGTGCCAATGTCTTCTGCTCCTTTGGCTGGCACTTCATCGACGGCAACAACTCGACCTACGCCTAAGCTGTCACCACGCTCTGCTCCCTCAGCACGGGAGCTCAACAATGAATTCACACTCAGTACTTCTTGATCTCGTAGTGCCGTGGGCCCAGCGACGCCTGCCAGCGTAGACCGGGCCAAAGAGCGACCCTGCGCTCTGTGAAACTCCTCGAAACCCTCATAGGCCATAGATTGTCCCAACTTTGATCGTCTCTTCCTCGGGAGAGAGCGCCCAACCGGCGCGTGCTCTCCCTCTTCGTTGACCAGCTCTGCACTGGTTGGACACCTCTTCACTCCTTGTCGCCTTTGTCCTCCTTTTTCTTGCCATCGCCCTTCCTGTTGCCCTTGTCCTTGAACTTGCCGTCTCCTTTGTCCTTCTCTCGCCTGCCTTTGTCTTTTCCTTTGCCACCTTTGAAGGAATCTCGCTCTTCCCAATGCCAACGACCTGTGTTGCGGCGGAACACTCGATCTTCCGCCTGGAGCTCTGGCCCTGCTTCTCCTGCTTCCGGTGTAGTCAGGAGGGACGGCCGGTCCGCTCCTACCAACTCCAGTCGCCTGGCGACCTCTGTGGTCGTACCTCTTGCAATGGCCTCGAGGGCCTTCAGCCGTTGGCTGGCCACGTCCAACGCGGCCGCAATGCGGCCTCGCAAGCATAGGTCCACAATCGTCGCGAGGTGAAGTGATTCTCGGGCTCGCGCTCCTCCCATATGTGGTTGCAGATGGTCCCGAAAATATTGTGCCACAACGGGAGCCACTAGTTCTCCACAACTGGACGGTTCAGGTAGCCGTGGGCGGTCAACATCTGTTCTTGCATGTCCAGGATGGCGGCATGGGTGGAACACGGCGCCACAACCGCAGGGATCTTCGTTCGCTCTCGAAAAGCTCCGACGTCGCGATGTGCTTCTCCCCCAGGCTTGAACTCTCGGTCGACTCCCCCGACTCTTCTCGTGACGAACCTCTGCTTCGAGAACGGGAGCCTTTCTTCTTCCTCTTCTTTCCTCTCCTGATCTTCCGGGCCTTCCTCATGAGCTCGACCCGGACGTCTGCATCTGGGTCCAATGCCGTGCACCTGAAGACTTCTTTCAGGGGCGACTCCAACTGCACTTTCAACTTGGCCTTCTTCTTCTTTCCTTTCTTCGCTGCCTTCTCCTCTGCCACCTCCCCTGGGCGAGCGGGAGGTTCCACTCCTTCGGGAGAATACTGCAATTCTCTCTGGCTCCCATCTCCTCTCGAAGTCGGTGTAGTGGATCGTCTTCTCGAGGCCCTGCCTTCTCGCGAGGAACTTCTTCCAGGTTTGTCCACCATTCTTCCACAGAATCTCCTTGTACGTGGTAACGGAGGCCGTGGATCAAATCTTTTGCCCAGACCAGTCTGTCGCATGGGTCGGGGCACACATGGATCTTCAAAAGCGACTCGCTCTGGGTCCCAGTGACCCAGATCCTCCACATAGCATCGGCCTCGTTCACAATCACGCCACGAGTCTCCCCTGCCACCAATACGGGAGACTCCCAGTAACGACCCTCCAAAACCACCTTCTGCTTCTGGTTGAGCTCGCTGAGGGTGATCTTGCTGAGTGCCAACCATTCCACCTCCTTCGGAGCAGGAGGGTCTCTTGCCTCTTCCCTGGCTGGACGGCGTAGTGCGCCAACTCGAACTCCTCGGTGAACCTCCTCTCGACGGCCTTCCATGATCGCCGCGGGCCTGCAACGAGGCGGCATGGCTATCAGTAGTAGCCCTGTTCGTACTCCCTCCACCGGCGGAAGTTGGTGTTTCGCTCGTCCTTCTTTCGGCCTTTGTTTGGGGGTGGTTCACGATAGGCCCAAGACTTGGATCGCACGTCTGTGGCCTCCCAACTCGAATAGCCAGGGGGTGGATGATCTGGTTCTCGGGGCCTCTGACGGGTGGTGGCTTTGGAGGCGGTGGTATCGCCCTCTTCTGGGCGTTGGTGAGGCCGGATGGACGGGATGGCAGTGAACCCCTGGGCGATGGGTTCCTTGGACGAGGGTTGGTGTACGGGGGGTCTTCTTGTCCCTTTTCCGCTCTCCCCCACGTTTACGGGAGAGGGAATGGCTGCCACGGGCCCTCTCTTCGGGGCTTTTGGCACGGCTGCCCCTGTGACGGCGACGGGATCGATGGCGGCTACGGGAGCGTCGATCTGCTCCCTCACGGCTCTCGGTGCGGGGGTCCTTCTCCTTCTCACGACGGCGACGACGTTCACGCTCCTTCGACTGCTTCTTCTTTTCCTTCTTTTCGGTGTCCTCCTCCTCAATGATCCGCGACTCTTTTCTCTCCTCTTTCAACCCTTCTTCTTTGGCGGGTTCAGGTCCTCCAGCTCCACTTGGACTACCTGCCTGACCGGGAGTGGCAGCTCCCTCGCCTCCTTCCGAGTAATCGAGCAACTGCGAGTGGACCACCCGCAGAAGCTCAATCCCTTTCCTCTGAAGGGCCCCTGTCGCTTCACGCGCGTAGAGGAGCCCGTACACGCGCCTGAACGACAGGCACAAGACACACCCACAAGTTTCGAACTCGTGTGTCATGTACCTGCCGCTAAGCCAAGACGCTGCGGGATTCAATACACATGGGTGTTCACCTTTAAATGCGGGGCGCAAGTCATACAGTATACAGTACTCATATAGTCACTCCCCAACCCAACATATGGGGTTGTACCCTGAAAACATCTCACGGCTTCAACACATCTCACCCGGAAATCTGATGGCGTTCACGGCGCCTCTGACGTGCCCTGCCCATGTCACGCTTCCCCTAAGTGGAACACGAAGTTGAGATTTGGCACTTCGGTCTTGAAATGTCAAAATGAGAGAGTTGCATCCTGGAAGATTAACATGGAACCTGAAAACCACTGGTTTGTGGAGGAAGCTAGTCTTCCAAAGATTGATTTTCAGGTTCCATGTTAATCTTCCCAAATGTACCCCAAGAATGTGTGTCAAGACAAACATTCCCTTCTACATGCGTGGTGCTCTTGCTGGAAAAAGTCACTTTATCCTTCACTGAAGTGTCTGTTTCTTTTCGCTTCTCGTTCTTCCGATGCCCGGCGAAAGAATCAGGTTCCTGATTCCTGCTGACCTGTTTGCTTCGTCATCTGAACCAATTTCTGCATTTGCAAATGGGGAAATGTCCGGAGGTGAGACTTTCAGGTCTCTTCAACTCGGTTGTTGTTGAAACCAAACTCGGTTTAGACATCATTCCCTCACTTGTAACTCAGTCTTGACATATCGTCCAAGAGAACAATTCAATATACTGGTATAAAGCTGGTGGACGCAGTGCCTTATCTGCCACTTCGACGGGTAGGGAGTGAGGGGTACTCTCATAAATTCAGCTGATCGTGGCCCAGTTGCCCAACTTAGCATCGGCCGTGGGTTAGGGGGAGCCGGGCTTGTTGGGCAACTGGACACATCATTCAAGAAGTGGGATGGTGGGATGCAGCTACCATAAACTATACCCACGTGGCTTCTACAGTGACAAAAATTGTGACTCGAAAATCATGGGCAGAAACTTCTTCCGACCGAGAAAAACCATCCTCTGGTCTGCTTTCTATAACTCGGCTTTCCCGGCCGATCTAGAAGCTGCTCTCTTCTAAGAAGCCGGGCCTTTCGAGCGCCGACACCTTGAGAACCAGCGGCAAACAGGACCAGAGATGACCGGGCTCTAAGGGGCTCAACGTGAACCCTCTGAAACGGCTAAAGCTCCAACTCCAAATCAGAACGGACCAGGATTCTGTCAGAAAAAAGAAACGCTGAGCGACCACGGCTGAGCCGCGGTACGCCGCGGCTGAGCCCCTCACTTCCCGCAAGGGCAGCGGCTCCAGCTGAAGCCAGTGCCAACCTGGTGGCATCAAAAAGGAAAGCTGAACCCGACCCTCACTGAACATTTATTCATGATTATTCACGCATGGCCGAACATGGGGATAGCCATGTCACACCTAATTTACTGAACCTGTCATGGTCTAGTCTTGGTTGTCCAGCAACCTCAGCCATTTGGCTCACCCCAATCAACGTCAGCCCGAGGCATCTCGAGGCTTGCCCTGAGTGCAGCCCAATTGACAGATTCCGTACAAGAGGTGGAGGCAAGTGGCCATTCTAAGAAATGCAGCTGGAGTTTGGGATGTCCAAGAAAAACATAGAAAATCATAGAAAAACCTTTCATGGCCATCCAGGTGTACAGTTTGCACCTCTTGTCCAATGGAATGCTTCTATGATCTTATAATATAATATACGGATGTTTGATCTTGGCAGCTGACACAAGAGCCCTGCAAAGGATTGCCTTTGGGATGATACTATCCAGTCCCGATATGAGAGTCTTTGTTCCCCCGCCCCACCTTTTGTCTTCAAATCAGACCTTCAAAATATCGTCGAACAGGCTACACGCTAAGGTCGTGTCCGCCTCAGGACTGACATGTCTCATTTGTTCACTGGCTGTCCAAACAAAATCGCTTTCCCAAGGCACAACGGCTCTGCATTCAGAACTGTGTATCCTTTTGGAGTTTCCTGCGTCAAGGTCGTCCCTCCACGTTCAGCCTCGTGTAGTCTCCTCCGCCTCCGCACGTCGAGTCTGAGGTTCGAATCCGTGCGACATCAGAACGACCAGAAATGCAGACGTTTCGCCATGGCTTCGTCGCGGGATGAAGCGGCGATGAAGCCGTGGAGGATCGGATCCGCCGGACGTGACGATGGGGAGCCCCTGGTGATGGGGATCAAGGGGGTGTGTTCCACAGCCCCTGGCGTCCAGAGGTGTCCATAGGCGTCCATAGGTGTGAAAAAAGGCACCCCAAGCAACGTTTGGCGCTCTGGTTAGGTTTTCCTTCCTTTTTTTTTGGAAACAGGCCAAAAAAATCCAAGTCTTCAGGTCGGACACTTCTTCGATGCCGAACGCAGATTGGACACCGAAGACGTCGGTGAACGAGTGTCGACTTGACATGATTGTGGAGGCTTGGGGGTTCAATGGGTTCAATGAGTATAGGCACATATATATATATATACACAGTAATGTCGACGTCGGATTAATCAACGGGCCCCCCCCTCCCCCCCCCCCTAGAAGGTCAACAAGGTCAACAAGGTCTGAGATTGGAGGTTTTGGAGATCACATCCCCCTAATAGTGGGGATGACCTGATGATGAAAGGGAATTAGTATTTGGAAGAATTGAGATGAAAGGGAATTAGTATTTGGAAGAATTGGAATGAAAGGGAATTAGTATTTGGAAGAATTGGAATGAAAGGGAATTAGTATTTGGAAACTAATTAAACACACATATATATATTTAAATAAATATATTTTTCCTGGGGGGACAGAGGGTAGACTAATAGGGGGGGGTTCAGCCAAGCAAAATTTTTATTAGAGGGTGGTGACTGTGGAAATTCATAGTTCAAATTAGTTTATTATTGGGGCCTGAACGCTGGGTAGACTAATAGGGGGGGTTGCCTAATCCTATGTTGACATTATGTATTATTGCATTATGTTATACTATATATATATACTGTATAATATACCAACGTGGAGTGTCTGGGTGATCTTACAAAGGCTTTGCGAATCAAGACTCTAAGCTTCTGATCAATTCGATGTCCAGAACATATCACGTTGGAACTGGTAGACTCTGACCATGAGTCATGTGATCCAATTCCGTTGAACCAACCAAACCTGGAGCATGCATTCGGGGTCGGACATATGGCATGGCTGTCCCTCTGCTACTGGGTGGGTGGACATGGTATGGCTGGTACCAGTAGACCGAGGAGATTCGCTTCCCATGGACAATCTCATCGAACGTTGGTGGTTTCAACTCACGGAAAATCGATTCGTCGGCTAATTACCATCATCCCAAGCAATGGTTGAACATGGTTGAACCTAGAAATATCTGGAACAACCGCCCAGTCATCCATCGCCATTGACGCCACAGCTTCCCCGGATACCCGTCGTCCTGAGCTGCTGGTTCCAGCGCCGGAAGCAGCGGAGCTCGAGGAGGGAGACGGACTGCCTGGCTGGTGTTTCCAGCTGGTGGCATTGTGAGCATCGGATTGTCTGTCCACGTTCAGCTGTGGTTTTTTAGTGGCAGTTGATTGGGTGTTTGACATGTAGAAGAATCTTGTGTATATCAATGGATGATGATATGGAAACAGAGTTTGAGCACAAAAAAATTAAAAGAAGAAGCCAGGCCGATATGTTGTCAATGGCCCACAAAGCGTGGATTGTTTCAACATGCAAGAAACCTGGCGACAACAGGATCCAACCAAGTTCTAACGGACTGTATATAAGTGCTTTATGGAAAACCTTGCAAATCCCATCATCTGCCTTGCATCTCCGTTTCCTTGCAAACCCTTTTGAGAACCTGCTAGAACCTGCTTTTTGGATCGGGGGCCAATACCCAAAAAACCCACACCTTCATCAAACCGCATCACTCATCCACCTCGCCCGCCTCGTAACGAGACCACCGGGCTGTGGAGCTGTGGACTCGTCCATGCCAAGGCCTCGTCCGGATGAATCACTGGCCGTTTAACGGATGAATCGAATCACCAACCGCACGGACCAATGGATTGGAATCGAATCCCTCTTTTTTTCTACCCCACTTGCCTTCCCATCCGAACGAATCCCCTTGTGGGATGGGTAAGACGACACCGACTAGGTCATCCATGGGCGTTGGGAGACCAAACATGGGCGTTGGGAGACCAAACCACGGGGAGGTTCACATCTGACTGGTTACCCATCTGACTGGTTTGGTCATCCGCGGACCGGTGGTTTTCGGGTGGTTTTCGATGGAAAAAGATTCACTGGCACAGCTTGAGGGTGGCATCATGTCATGTCAAGTCGCTTGAGTGCAGAAGGTTGTTGACATGCGGTTTCTGTATACTCCCGTGACAGATCTACTGGTGCCCAAGTCAAGAGCCAATGATGTTCAATCAAGAGAACTTAAGAAAACATGGGGGGTTCTCTCTGGGGATCATCACATACCACCATCCTGGGCCGCATTCCGAAAGGCCGCTTCGCTCTCAGTGAATGCTGGATGTCTCTGGAATCGCTGAGCTGTGGAGGTTCCGATCTGTTGTGAGTCTAAGAGCCAGCACCTTCCAGGTCTCCGAAATGGAGGGCTGGGAAGGGCCCTAACAGGTTTCAATGGGTGACCTGTTGGAGGTGCTGGAGGATGTTTGTTGCACGAGCTGTGGAGGTATCGAGTACAGGGTTTGACAGGTGACAGGGTGACAAATGAGTGTGTGCTTCAAATGTGGGAGACACCCTGGCCCAATGGTTTTGGAATGTTTTTGGTCTATGGTCAATCTGTGTTCATTCTTCCAGGGAGGTGTTGCCGTTGGGGAGGTCGCCCGATTTAAATACACACCCAGATTCAGATGAGTGCAGCATTCTACAGCATTCTACAGCTCACCCTGAGTCCGCTGCTGCTGTTGATTTCGTGTCCCGTGTCTGTCTCGCCGAGGGACCCCAGTGATCAAGGTGCTCGCTGCAGCAGCAGTGGCCATGCGGGTCAAGTTGCTTACCTCCCAAAAAACCACCGGTCTGGTCAAAGCGGAGAGAAACATGAACATCGAACATCCTCCAAACTGACATGCAAACTCTACGACTCTACAACTGCTGGAAGAAGATTTGTCTCTACAAAGCACGGGTTTTCATGGTCCAAGAGTGTCCGCACCAAGGAATTGACTGCAGAGCGATTCTGGTCTTCACTCGCCGAGTCAGTTCTTACAAGTCGCTTTCTTCAGCAAATGATCGTTATGGATCTTCACAAAAAAACCATTTGCTTCCCCAGTACAGGGTGTCATGCACCTTATGTACCCATGTACCCTCGACAATCAAAGGGGACCCTTATGTACCCCGGCTCTCCGACAGCAACGAACCCTGAAAAGCAACACTGTGACTCAGTCAACAGTTTGTAGGACACCAATCCAACATGAGCCAACGGTGTTGTACGGTGTTTCTTGCTGAAGCGTTTGCTGTGAACCAAACACGTCAATTCTGCAACTGCCCCTTCTGCTTGCAATATAGGATGCAGAATCGCTCGAGCCAGCAGGATGCTCAAGCTCAAGCCCCGTGCCTCTCTGTGAGAGTCCCCCATGGTAGCGGCCTGAGGATCGGGGTTTTGTTGCCATCCAATGGAGCACTCCAGAGAAACTCCTATTGATGCACCTGAAAATGCCTGAGTTCCCTAGCTCTGTCATGGGTGTCCAATTCGTGGACCAATGGAGATCAGTCCTTGTTCTGTTTTGTGGGTTTTAAGCATTATAAGGGATACGGGTACCACATCCCAAAGACCCCTTTTTTCGCTCCGCGACGCCCGCCTGGCCGCGTTCGCTGCGCGTGCGTAAGGAAAACTGCTTGGGCAAAAATGCGTCTGACAACCGAGCCTCCTGGGGAGATGAGCAAAACCCCACCACAATGTATTTGCCACGTCGGGGCACGAAAAAAGAAGCAACCCAAGTGCTCCGACGTGTCAGACGGGCAGCGAATCAGCTTTTGCATTCGGCGTCGGACAGCGCTCTTTGGACTATGTACACTGCTCTCTCCTCGTGGTTTTACACACTCGTCGGCGTGGTGGTTTTCCGTACCGTGAAAACGAGAGCTTGAGAGAGCTTGAAGGTCCATTCGAGCAATTGGCAAGCTAATACAGGCTTGCACTCGCACATGCATTGATGTGTGGTCAAGCATCGTGAGATTTGGTGAGACTCAGAACTGAGCGTTCAGTCTAATCGGAAACTCTTGAAGCTCTCCTTTAAGGTTGCTTTAGAGGAAACACCTCAGTTTCATGTCGTACCATACGGCTGTGGGTCAAAACACACCTCGAGCCTGATTGATCCATCCTGGAAGTCGGTTGCTTCACCTCCCCCGTTTTTCGTCGAATTGGTTCAACCCAGTTCCTCCGTGTCTGAACCCCATCGCCGAAAGCGACCGGTCGTCCAGGTCGCATCGACGCCAAACGGATGAGTTTAAGGATCCAAATCGGACCACGGGACCATGAGCATAGCTGGCTTCTGAATGTTCCCAAGCAAACTTGCCCCAGTTGCTTGTAAGTTAACCATTTCCAACTAGCTACATCTAGCTACAGGAGACAAAGGTCACCACTTTCGGTTGAACATTCTGTCCATATTTGCTGTGGGTCAAAAGAAGGGAACCCTGGGATTTTCCGATCATGAAACGAATTAGACTACTAAACATGGTCAACCTACCAGGGGTCTCCAGGGTGTTGATCCTGTCTATTTGCCCCTGCCGGTGTTGAACCTCAGGGTCTTCTTGTGGCCAATTGCGCCACAAGAACCCTCAGCCTTCGATCACTGAACCCTCAGCCTCACCGGATCTCATCGGCGTTTGGGCAGCTGTGGCAAGGGTGTAGCTCCATCCCTGGACGCGTTTACCACGCGCCGGAGACATCGGAGATAGAAATCCAAACGAATTCGCGGTACGAGAACCGCTGTGCGAAAGACCCACCCGAGGATGGCGGGCGAAGCTTTTTGGATGAATTTTGGATGAATAAATGTTTTCGGCCGGGACGAGTGGAGTGGAGACCGGTCCAATGGAGAACGGACTGAGTGCGATTCAGGGGGGAAAGGCAGGCGGACCTGCGAGTCGTCGGAAAGCCCAAAGTCTGCGAGTCTTTCAAGATCAAAATAATGATCACTTCACATTGCCGGATTGAGTATGAAATGGTATTAAACATCCGTGAAACATCCTCTGTGAACGTTGAATCTGTTGAATCGTTCTGCTGTGCCAGTTCCGCTCCGATCTGTGACCGCCTACCCCCGCGTGACCGCCGACCTCTCGTGGCCAGGGTTCTTGGAGGCGTTCCGCGGGCGACGGAAGCCTTTCTCCTGGGCACCAGTTCGGGAAGGAAGAAGCCTTTCTCGTCCCAAAAGCTAGTGTTTCCCGCCTGGTCTGGACATCTCTGGATGAACAGCTGAACACATTGAAAGGTAAATGATGAACAGTCCCACTGCGGAGGGCCCACTGCGGTCGAAGAGTTCCAATGAGTTCTTCAGAGATTTGGGTCGAAATATGTCGAAAGCAACCCCCGAAGCTTTTGACCAACTCGCGAAGGACTGGACAGACAATTCCCCATCCGGCCTGAAGCTGTTCAAAGTTTAAAAAGAATTAAAAAAACGTGACCTCTATGGAGGTGACTAGACCTCACTAGGCCTGGAGTGCAGACTTCTTTCAGATCTTTCAGCTGCGACCTCACTTGACCAAGACTCATTTGACCACTTCGGTTGGGAAGCACATGGACACACACGTCGTGTACCACCGGATCCCTGAACCGGATCCCTAAGACCCTCCGAGATCTTCTCCGAAACATGGTGTAAGTGTTAAGTGATGTTAAGTGGTGTCTCTTGGTCTCCCCATCTGCTTGGTTCAAACGGTGTGAACATCGCCGGGTGAACAAACCGTGGGAAAGCTTGACCGATGGCTCAAGGAGGAGGGACATCAGGCCGCAACACAAACCAGTGGCTCTTTTTTCAACAGGTTTGTCTGCTATATAAGAGTTGATCTCTTACTCTACGGTGCTACAGAAGTCAAACCTTTTTAACTTTCTGCCTCAAGGCCCTTTCAGATTTGGTCAAACTCTAATGGACCAAAATGCGATTAGCCACCAAATCCACAGTGTTTCGTCCAAAAGCTGTTGTGGCGCAAGCTCTAATCTTAACCCTGTAGAAATTGCATTCCCACCCAACTAACCCAGCTCCTCCCCAAACGATGTATGTAAGTTACCATAGGAAGAACTGCCAAGAGGAGAAAGATTGAGAACGGATGAAGGTCCCCCACTTTTGGACAATCTGGCTGAGGCATGGCTAAACCAGATGTTATTTGCAGGCATGGACAAAAGAAAGAAACACGTTTCCCCTTTCCTGCCCCCCTTGTTGCTTAAACAAGAAAAGGCACGAACGAACCGAGAGCCCAGCCAACCAACGCAAGAAACCAACAAACGCCGACCCCCAACTCAAGCCTAACTCACCCAAACCACCCCAAACCTCATGGACTCTGCCTGAACAAATCCAACCAACCCAAGAAACTGATCATGTATTTGCTTAACGAATCCAGAAAAACTGTAGATATTCCCGAGGGGGATGAACAGCCATGGGGGGAAACAAAGAATCACCCAATCCGCCAACCCAGGTCATGCTCCAATCCACCAAACCGTTGTGCTTCGACCCTTCGCTCACACCCGGCAGCCTGTCCCACAGCGGCGGCCACCTCCATCGCCGCGGCCGCGGCCTTCGCCTCGCTACGGGAGAGAGAACGTCCCAGAACCTTCGTTTGAACATGTAGACCTTAGGAAGACATTGTGTGACATGGTTTTGAACGGTAGAACACTCTGGCCCCATGGATTCTCATTGAAGTTTCTCAGGCTACCTTTCCCCAAACCCATGGGCCCTGCAGCTTGAGATCGAAGCCAGACCCCTTAGCATCGAAGCTGCTGAGATCAGACGGGGGACAGCTAGTCATACTGAGTCCTTTCATGACCAGTGTTGTTAGCTAACAAAAGAATGTAGACTTTTGATTAATAACCCCACCCCCAGACATGGGATGACATGGGTTGCAAAACCTCCATCATTTGGGTTGAAATATAAACCTTTTAACGCTGTGACCGTTCCGTTTGGGTATCACGTCCACCATGTGATCTATCAAGACCCGCCCACAGCAACGCTCGGTTCGAAAAGGCGTGTCGGTCGCGACGTGTGTTCGTTGGAGGTTGACCAGCTGAATAGCAGGGATTTGGTGGGAAAAAAGGACAGCTCTGGAGGAGGAGGAAGAGGAGGAGGAGGAGGAGGTGGTGGTGGTGGTGGTGATACTGGGATATTCCGTGACCTCGGAGAATTTTGCAGGTAGTGCTACAAGTACGTAGGCCTGAGTCCATCCGCAGGCCTCCCCTGTCTAAACGCACTTCCGACCCGTCGCCGGGAGGAGTCTACGATCCAAAAACCTCGTACGCCTGGCCAAATGGTTTTAACATGAGAGAACGACGGAAAGAGGGAGGGAGAGAGGGAGGGGGGAGAGAGACAGAGAGAGACAGAGAGAGAGAGAGAGAGCAGGAAGATGCAAAACCAAACCACTCTGCTATGAAGCCAGACTGCAAATCCCAAAAGCGGTCTTTTGGTCAGTATACCTGGATGTTCCACTCGATATATTCCACCCTGTCACAGTGACGAATTCTTCTCTCCCCCACCGTAACGAACCCTGCCATCCTCCGAAGCTCCAGTGAAGACACCCGAGAAAGGGCTCCACCCCAAGGCGTCAGTGCTGCCGGCCGCGCCCAACCCCGGCCTGCTGACTGCGCTTGGGCGCTTCCGAGCGAGCCCTGTCAGAGTGCAGGTCAACAATGAAGTCTTGGCAGGAGCAACTAAGATGCCAATGGCCCCTACAAAGAGCTTGAGCTTAAAATTATGGAATTTGGACGCTTGGGAGTCTTTTCTTGTCCATGTCCACGAATTCTGTGAGGAATTATATATGTTGCGATTTTGCGGCTGTTGCTTGCACACGACAGGCCTTCAGAACTTCCTGCAACTGATGGTTACACGGGTTTTGTCTGTGGTTCTACACTTGGATCTATCGATCTTTGCAGAATGACTCGTGAGATTCCCTGTACCCACCCCCCTTACATGTGCGTAATTGCGTAAAGCGTTGGGGCGCTTGAGCGGGCGCCCGCGTGTTTCGCGCCTGGTCGAGGGGTTGGGCCTTGGCAAGTCCCGTGACTCCGACAATCCGATGATCCATTCCCGCCGTTTGAAACGGAGCGTCCACTTCTGAGGCCGGCGCTCGGCACGGCCAGATGCCTTGGGAGCAGGCCAGATACACCAGTGATCCGAGTGAAACCCATCAACACCGCTTTCTCCGCCAAAACTCCCTTCGCCTGGTTTTCCGGCAGCGGCGGCAGCGAGGCGGACTTCGTCACGCCCTTCTCGCGCGCGGCGCCCGCGGCGCCGCGACCACGGCCCTTGCCTCAACGGAAAGGGACTCCGAAGCAGCAAATGTGAAGAACGATGGAAGGTGCTCCGTGCTGGCTTGATTTCATGGGGTGCAGGAGCAGCTGGTTTGTTTTTGATGTCCAGATCTGCCAACAAAATCATGTACATGGTACGCATGATACATGCCTTTGCCAGTAGAACAATCCAGCAAAAACTCAAGACTCAGGAAACCCAGCAGTTTCAGCATGCCAGCTTCCCAAGCAGGTCCGCAACCACCTGCCTGCAGGTGGGTTGGACACAGAGCGGTTCCCTCGTCCTGCGGGTCGGCGCCGCACCCAGGTCGGCTCGCTGAGCGCGAGCATCGGTTCGCCAACACTTGGCAGGATGAGTCAAGCACCTCCCCCCACCAAACCATGGATTCGCTTCACATGTCAATCACATCCCTGATATACAAGTAGGGCAACCAAGAAGCACATTGACCAAAACAACTCTTCTTCAAACAAAGCACCTCGTTCATGGACTGTCCCACTGCCACCATGAAAAAACTCGCACAAGTGTTTTGCGCCCCGATATATCTCCCAAAACCTCCGACTCTGGGTGGGGGGTCTGTCGCGACCCGACGGCAATGCGCCCGGTTCTCGGGGCCGTCGGCGCTCCTCCACGTGGAACCTCACCAACCTCACTCTTGGGCCTCAGCGGTTGCGGTTGCGAGTTCACGGTGCGCCCCGAAATCGTTCGAGCGGTCTGGGAGACATGGAGTGAAAGAATCGAAACCAAACGAAGGATTGGGCCGCGGCCAAATGGACTAGCTGATTTGAGGAATTGATTTAAAAGCAATTTTTTTGGTTGTTGCTTTGTCAGGTTTCCAGAAGGGGGTAATTAAGTGTCAACTTAAGTGGAGAACACTCACACCCGCCAGGAGCGGGGAATGATTGACGTGGCTTTCAGTCTGTTGTGGACTGCGAACACTAAACTATAATAATTCCATAATACTATAAATATAGATTAGATGATTCTGATATAACAATAAATAAAGCATCAATAATAACAATACAACAATATACAATAATACTATACCAGGACCGTCCAAAAGGTGTTAGAGGTTAAAGGGTGTCGGAAGGGTATATTATATTTAGCGTTCCTTGATGCTAAGGGAGCTTCTCAAGAGCATTTCCCTCCATGAAGGGGGACATCTTCAATGTGTCAGCTACCAAATCTGAAGGAAGTTCATCTCCACATCCAGAACAAGAATGGATGAGATCCGCTGAGATGGAGTTCCTTCATCTACCCAAAGGCTAAAAAAAGCAAAGCCCCTGCAGCCAAAACCTAGAGATTTGAGACCCCAAACCCCTCCAGCCGGGTCCGGAGTCGGGTTGGAAACCGGCTTGCACGACTCCCAAGCTGTCCACCTCTCAGCCACCCGACACGTGCTGCCGCGACTCCGGCCGCGTGCGTTGCGACGGGGACACATTCCGGTCGAGGGCGGGTCCTGGGGTTTGGTTCGGGTGGGCGGGTGAAGGGTGAAGGGTCGGGAAAAGAACACCTACAGTAATAGATCCAAATAGAAAAACATCGAAAAACCAGGTGAACACCAGGTCTTGAGGTGAACACCAGGTCTTCAGGTGAGCACCAGGTCTTCAGGTCCCACAAATTCTCATCGGTTGCAAAGAGGTTGCAAGTTCCAACAACTCCGAGCTTGAGGGTTGATGGCAACCCAAAGTTCAATCGCCTATGAACCCAAAGTTCATCCAAACAATCAAACCGAGGGATTGAAGGGTTTCCAAAGACTAGAGGATTCTGAACCCTGAAGTTTCACTTCAAGCTCGGCTTCGACTGCTGTTCCACTCGTTTGGACTCCAGGCTGAATAAAGCCTTGTTTCACACTGAGGATCCGCCCATTCGCTTTCAGTAGCTTCTAGTGGTTTTCCGCCCATTCGCCCATTCCTGTTCCTAGTAGCGAACATTGTTACTACTAGCAAGGCACTTGTTACTAGAAGCGATGCACCTGTTCCTAGTAGCTTGATTTTAAAACCACTACGAGTAGTAGCTTCCGTCGTGCCGCCCGAATCGCTGAGCCATGCACGATTCGTGGGTGCAACCTTTTCTGCGCGATCTGCTGCCTGTGAGGTTTTTGAACCAGCGCGGGGCAACAAAAAGACCCAAACAGAAGCTGAGAAGGAATATGTCCGTGGTACGGTATTATAGTAGGAGGATCTATGGTGGAACTTGGTGCCGTCAGCAAGGTTTCCATCAAGCAGTTTGGATCAAGTTTACTTTTTGTTCCCCTTTGATTCAGCCCGGGCCTTTGTGCTATGGCCTCCTTTGCCGGCTGCCTTTGAGCCCTTGGCCTCGCCAGTTAGGTGAGCGAAATTCGATCCCCAAAGTAAGATGTGTCCTAAAAAAAGACGGTGCTCGAAGTGAAGGCTTGAGATAAAATCCATAGTAAAAACTGTGCTCGAAAGGACTTGGTGAAGCATCAAGAAGACTTGGTGAAGGTTTTTACAAAATCCAGTGGTAGAAGTCCTTTTTGGACCGGATTCCGAAATGCGGTGGATTTTTTCCGGATCTCAAACAAAATAACATCACTCCAGGCGCTGCCAGTTTTTGGAAATCGTAAAAGTGGACGCACCAAGTCTCCTCAGAAAAGAAAAAGCTGCGAATCGTTAGTATGCGAGGATGAGTTCGTATTTTGTTTTGCCCCTGTCCAACTGTATGATGTTTGTGAGGGCCTGTACTCAATTACTTGGCATCCGCTGCATGTTTTCCATTCAATACCTGCATGTCTGCTCAAGTGCCACTGTGGAACGAAGAACAACTCATGTTGCTCTTCACCCTGCATAAACCATCATAAACCTACCTAGGGCTGTGCCATGCTGTGCCTCGAGTCTCTATTCTTACTTTCCGAGGTGAACAGCGCAGCGTTCATGTTCCATCATGTTCCACACTGGCTCAGTTCTGCTTCCACGGGACCACTCCATCCCCATCCACACTGGCTCGTGCGAACGAACACACGTCCGCCGTCGTACGCCCGAGCACGGAGGCTGCGGCGTGAGGTTGCTCCGATCCACTGCTGGGTGACAAGGACCCCAGATCGATCGACCTCGGCGCGGCATCGACGTGCGCGGTGGCCATCGATGCCCCAAAATGGGTGGAGCCACAAGATCCACAATGGACGGTCAGAGTCGGTAGATCCCAGAAGCGATTTTCTTGGGGTGGTTGAAAAGGGTCGATGTAAATCAATGTATGGGGATTGGTGGGGTATACTTATACATGGACGCCCTGGTTTCACCACCGCAATGTGGGTCAATATGCCATATGCTTTTGATGGAGTATGATTGTTCGTGTCCGGGGAATTGGAGTTGAGATCTGAGGATGGATCTTCTACTGGTATGGATCTAGAAAAGGCCATAGGCTGCCAGAGGTATGGATTAGGCTTGGATCTTCTAGAATTCATGTGGATCTTCTTTGAATCTTCGAGGCTTCGAGGCTGATGAAACTACTGGATCAAGGGCGACTGAGGTTCTGGCTTGTCACTGGAGGCGTCCAAGATCACCTCTCGCGCGTCTTCCGGGCGCAGATCCGCATGGATCTGCAGGCTCACAAGGTGCACCAAAGGTTTGGACATGGTGGACCAAAGGTTTGGACCTCCGAAGCTCCGACAAAGACCTCCGAAAGTGTCTCCCCAACCTTGGGAGACTTGGGGATTCCGAAACCCTATAGAAGGTCCACCACTCCAAAACCCCCGAAGATCGGAGCTCCAAAACTGCCGCGCAAGACGCGATGTGTGTACACCTTGGACTCTGAAAACATGGTCGAAGCGGTAGAAATACATCGTCTTGCCGGGACAATGCACCAGAATTCATGGCCCCGGAAAAATCCGTCGGCAGCTTCTCCCTTTACTCATCTTTCTCTCTTCTTCAACAACTATATAAGCACGACTTGGTGGAACATGAGCTGCTCAGTGCTCCATGTTCAGAACTCCAATTCGTGTATCGATCACAGGATCACATCGACGGGTCACATCGATGAGCGACGTGTCTCCCGACGTCGCTGTCCCTTCCTGTCGTGCCTCCTCGTCGAATTGGGGGATCACCGTCACCGGCCTCGGACGATGCGGAAGGTGCGGTGACCGGTTTCAGTTCTTCGGGATCCACCGAGTCACCAGTCCAAGCACCGGTCCTTGCAAGTCCTTGGATGTCCTTCCCAAACCATCCCTATGTGGAATAGTTCCCAGAAGCTTCCAAGCCCTGTGGTTTTTTGGGACACCCCGAATCACCTCATGAGGAGCTATTTATAGACACCTCTTGGAGCGTTCTGGTACATTATAGGGTCATAAATGGTATAAATGTATTTAACCATGCCATGAAACTATTCCATGGATGGTCTGGGCTGGGAAGTCCTTGGGTCACTTCCATGAATTTGTGGATCTTGCCCGCACATTTGGTCTAGCGGAATGTGGCCCGCGTAGCTGCGCGTCTGCACGGTCCCCTTGGAGAAGGCCAGCACTCTCAAACTTCGGAAGATCTTCCAACAGAAGCCCTCAAGTACCTCCAAAAAGTCATAATATGTTCGCACCTCACTCAGAGGCCATGTTCAAAAGTCACACCGAAGCGCAAGACCCAAAACCGGCAGTGAGAAGGATGGGGAAGGGTGAGACGGTGAGACCCTCACATTCCGGACTCGACTCAGGCTCCAGCAGTTCTTGACCGGCTTTAAGGCCTCCTGCAGGCGCAAAATCTCTGTGAAACAGTCTGAACACGTCTTCCAAAGTGACTTGGTAAAATAAAGAATGCTTGTTTCTTTGACATGCTCAAAAAATCGTCTTCCATGGTCCTTCCTGAACACCACCCCCGCTGGCCGGGGCCCTCTTCTCCCCCGACCCTGCGGGTCCCCCGGCCGGGCGAGCTGCCCGATCGCGGCGGCGAGAGCGGAGAGCTCAAGCTCTGCCGACGATCAGAGGAGTGGATCCCCTGCACGGAGATGCATGGGTGTTGGAGAGGGTGGAGACCATCGGTTGGAGACCATCGATACCATCGTCTTGGTCCATTGGTTCTGTGGGAATGTCATGCACAGGAATTCGTGCGTGCAGCGCAGCGCAGCGCAGCTGGTGATGTGGGGTTTTCAGGGCTTGTGGAACCAAGTTGCTTGCTGGTCACATCTGGAAAGCAGGCGTTGAAAGCAATGGACTCAATGTCCCCAGCCTTCCCTGGATTCTCAGGCAGGCGGTGACAGAGATCAACGACGTGAAGAATGGATCAACATACAGAAACTTTTGGAAAGGCATCGTTCCCAACAATGAAGACTCAATGAAGCTGTGCTGTGACTCGAGTATGGAGATTGATGGCGTGAGTCCAACACTGAACAGAAGAACAAGAAGAGGTGCATGGACTAGAAACCCGAAAGGAGTGGCAACAAGAATGGCCGGGTGATGGATCAACACGAGTGTCACAACGAAAGTTGCAACAAATCGCCTAGTGAATGTTTCAGTTCAACAATGTCCAGAATGCCTAGTTGATGCTGCGACACAAGGTTGCAGCAGCCAAGGGACGGAGTGAATGTAACCAATATGTCGTTACATTGGTTACATGCACAGAGAGAGAGAGAGAGAGCACCACCTTCCTTTTGTGAAACATCAACTGCCTTAGGGACATTGTGCTCACATCAAACCACAACACTTGATGTTAAAGCAAAAACTAGTGACATCAAGCAGTGTCTTCTAAGAATAGTTCTTCGATGTTCTCGGTCCCTAAGCGAGTGGATCATGGGCACGCCGGGCACGCCTATTCTCCAGTAGGCACCCTTTTGGAACTGCTGGAATGCTGGAATAACGAGACCAAGAGATAGAGATGGAGAGAGGGCGGAAGAGCACATGATGTCTCCGATTCCCGGTATCCTTCCCTCCCCTCCGGTGGCACCTGACGCTTGGGCGACATGAGATTCCGACAGCTGCGGGCAATGAAGGCATGGAACCTGGGTCGGTGACGCGGACCGCGGTGCTGCAGAAGTCAGAAAAGGCCATGGTTGAACAGTGTGTCTGCATGGGTATATGCTTAAGCATGCTTAAGCTTAGACGCCTTAGGGCGAGTGGGCTGTACCAATCTTCCGACGTTGCTCATTGGTGGTCACGTCCGGTTGTCGTGAGGTGGTCAGGTCGGGGGTCCTGGTCCACAGATCTACAGAAGTATAGCGCTTTTGCAGATTACGCCCTTCAGCGTCTTGAAACTCTTGAAAAGACAAGTTGATCGCAGCAGTTGATCAAGGTCCGTCTGTGGCCATGAAAATCAACAAAAGATATGCTGGCCACAAGATGAGCATAGTCATGGGTGCCACACAACACTGAAGGCTACAGAATGCAGTCAACTGGGCCATCCTTCGACAGACCGAGTTCGCGCTGAGTGACGCAAGCCAAGTCGGTGCATGCAAGGGTGTCTTTGCAGCCCACAGAAGCCCAGAACCCATCTCCTGACCTGGCCAATGGCCAACATCCATGTGCACATGTCCGTACATGTCCCATGTAGTAAAATCATGTAAAAATATGTGAAAAAATCTAGGAAATAACATGAAATAACTACGACAGATGGGCATGAAAGGCACCTCCTTTTTGTTGGAGGTGGCTCAGCTCGTGGTGCCGGAAAGTGCCACAAGACCCACCCGATCAACTCACTCAGCCATCCTGAGGGATTCTCAGGCGAAAGCGAAGGAAGTCAAAGCTAAACCTGCCGCCAAAGCAACTCCCGCTGGCTCGCTGGCGGCACTTCCGGGATCGGTGGGGTCTTCGGTGGTTCCAGTGCCGTCCTCGGTGGTGCTGTCGTCATCGGTGGTGCTGTCGTCCTCGGTGGTGCTGTCGTCATCGGTGGTGGAGCCTGTGCCTGTGGTGGAGAAGACGGTGGAGCCGGTGGTGGTACTGGAACAGTCCAGACCAAGCTCGTCACAGGAGCCAGAGACCACCGGGTCATAGAGAGAGGAGTCGATGAAGCGAGGAAAACGGAAGGTGAGCGTCGTGCCGCTGCCCTGCGTGGTGATCATGGGGTAGCCAGCAGCCATCTCCTCCCACACGCAATCGGTCTGCACGGCCGTCGAGAGCGACAATTCGGCCGAACCGCCCAAGGAGACCTCCTTCTTGTCGCCCTCTTTCTCGCTGGCCGAGCCTCCCCCCATATTTGTCACCGTGATGTCAAGCTCAACAGCATCACCCACCTCACCATTCTTGCAGGTGGCACCCACGTCGCCGCACCAGGTCCAGTCCCACAAACGGATGTTCCACTTCAGGTCCCCCATGCCCACTTCCCAAGAATCGGTGTTCATGCCCACCGTCCCGCTCGTTGCAATCAAATATGTATCCACCCCCAACTTGCCAATGCTGGAGATGGTGGACTCAAAGGAGACCTTCGAGGCGCTCACCGAGCCAATAGACACCAGCTCCACGTCGCCGACGGTGAAGTCCTGCGAGGCAAAGGTGTTCACGGAGTGCTTCACGCTGCCGGACTGGCCCACAGCGTTCCCCGAGGCGTCCACCTCGCGCAAGGCATCCATGGTGACCCGGATGCCCACCGAGTTGCCCGAGGATCCCTTGGGGACCTTGGATTTGAGTTCGGACGTCGTCTTGGGATGAAGACCCAGTTCGGGAAAAGAGAAGAAAAAATAACATAAGCAAAACCTAGGGACGATGGTGAACTTGCCACTTTGCCCTTGAACGTTCACCTCCACTGGCACCTCACTGATGTTGGCAGGGGCCGCAGTCGTTGTCGCGGTTTCACAGTATGGAAAGGTTGCGGTCGACAGCCGGGTTGCAATCATAAAGAACCACAACAAGGTCATCGTCATCGCCATCCTTCTTGCTGTGCCACAATGCAGGAACGTAGGAACCTAAGACCTGTGAGCCCAACTTTCAAGAAGCACTGCAATTCACTAGACCTCCTTGCTCAAGTGAGTTTGGGGGCTCACAACCACGAGAAACCGTGCCGTGTAGGCGGTCAAAACCAAGCATGCCTTCCAGTGTCCAAGCCTGCCGCGCTGTGCCGTATCACAGCACTCCGCTCGCTCGGCAGCTCAGAAGCTTTGGACCCCAAACACTCCGTGTATACCAGGACACCCTGTTTGGGGTTTCTGTTGATAGCTCCTTGGAGGTGATTCGGGGTGTCCATGAACCACCCCTTGTGGGTCCTGGTTTGTAGCAGGTTTTTCTTTTTTATAATTATTGTAATTATTTATATATAGGTGTTGGGATCAAAACTTGTCAAGAACCAAACCCCAAGTCTGGCAAATAGATTCACAGGGTTTCATAATATATTGCCACTGGCAACTTGCAGGAATGTTCACACAAAAAAAATGCTGTTGGGAATCGGTGGACCATATCTTAATCTTCCTGCACCCTAGCCTTCCAAGATCGGTAACAGAAAGCTTAACCTGGTTTTATACGTAGTCTAAAGTCCACAGTAAAACAATTTGTAAAACAATGGTAGTACAACGCTATTAAATCCCCTGGTGGGCCAGGAAGCCTATAGGGTTTAATATGGTTTAATTACAAACACTCACGTGCACGGTGAGTGTTTCTCTCCCTCCAAGCTCCCGGGCCGGCGCTGTTGCGAGTCGGCCACCGGGCCGGCGGTCGCCCGGAAATACCGCAGTGCCTGGTGACAGGTCGCGACCGTCAAAGGCAGATTGATTGAAAGACCCCCAACATGGGTTGTTGGTCGTTGAGAAAGGAAAAGGCTTGTGCGAGGAATGGTCCAAATCGATAGGCCAGCTCGCTAACGGACATGCCAAGATGGTAACAAAACCTCTTCGTCTGGGGGAGTTGAAATTTCATCCCTTAGTCCATGTACAGATCCTACAGCTTCAAAGATGGCTGTGAAATGCTTTGTTCTCGTGACCCGGAACGACGGAGCGGTCGAAGTGTTCCACGGAGCGTCTTCGACTGAGCTGCTTCTGATTCATCAAAGTAGGTCATTCGTCCATTGTCTTGCACTTTAAGTTTCTTTCTCAGCCATTCAGGGTACGAAGCCTTGTGGTGGAAATTGCGCAAATGCAGAGGGCACAGCCTAATGACATTCTTGCCCAAAAAGAAAAAGGCGATGTGCTGGAACTCTGCCACACTTGAGCGATCATGATCGATTGGCTGATGTTATCTGTGAACAGAATGCTGAAAGATTCGGGTCACATCACCCAACGCATCGAAGTCGCAACAACGGATTCCCGTATTACGCATCACTCGACACCAACGTCCGCCCCGTGGGGCCCCCGATCCACGGCACGACCTCGCCTCCTCCGCCGCGGCGGCTTCCGCCATGGCGGCCTTGGTGTTGGCGTCCAAGTCCGCCTGTGAATAGCCATCGCCTGCGTCCGATCTCCACCGGTGAGTCGGAGGCTCCGCGTTGAACATGTGGCAGAGCCGGAAAAACGAGTTCGAAAAAAGTGGAGATGGATGCTTCTGGGAATCTGGGCCATTGTGTGGGCCATTTTACTTGCATTATTATTGTAGTGTCTTTATGGTTGTTCATGTGCTTAATTTAAAAAGAAAAAACAAACTTCCCGTGCTGTTGGGTGTGTGCGGGTAATGCAAACCACATCAAACACCCACAAAAAGGAACACTGCTTCTCACAGGGAAGACCGACCTGTAAGACCAAAACTGAAGACTGACCTGTGAGACAGAGTGGGGAAAGCCGACCGAAGGGGTGGACGTGCATCCAGCCCAACCCCATCACAATCCAACGGTCAGGGCACCGGAGTCCTTGCACCGAATCCTTTCAAACTCCGGGGTTTCAAGATCTTAGGATTCTGAGGATTCTAGAGGTGAACTAGAGGTTCTTGCACCGAATCCCTTTCAGAATCCTTTCAAAGGGCTTCGAAGTTTGGAGCAGTGGTCCTCCAGTGGTCCGTCTCCCACGCAGCTGAGTCCGAGTCCACCGCCCGAGAGGACGGTCGAAAGGAAACCGCGAGAGGAGTTGTGTCCCAGCTGCGAGGGAATCCGCGCGGCGTGGAGAAGTGAAACAAACGGTTTATATATGGAAAATTCATCGGTGTTTTTGTGGTGCTTCTCGACTGTACTGTTCCTTGATCTTCTCTTTCTTAGACTTTTCTGAAACCGCTAGTGCTCAGTTCCTTGATACATCTGCTTAGTTCCCTTCTACACCGACCCCGGGAACGGATGCTGTGCCCACACCCCAAACGAACGGAACGGTCTTCTGACGGCACCTGGGCCCACGGCGCTGATGGAGGCCAAATGGAAATGGGCTGCGAGTTCCTGGCATCGGATCTGTGGATGACCCCCCCCCCAACTGGGATTGGAACACCTCATAATTATAGGGGATCTACTATATAGGGGTCTGATGAAATCAAGAGTCTATGCCTATGCCATAACCACAAGGGTCCCATGGGGTCAGGTTATTCCAATGATCGATTCCACTGATCGGCTTCTGGCACTGGGTGAGTCAAGCCCATCTCCATCATCTCCATTGCCCGGACGCGAGGACGCCACACGCCACTACGGTCAAGCCACCGACCGTCCGCGACCGCGAACCGCCACGGACCGCGGTTCGGCGCGCGCGCGGTTCGTGGGGTGTCGCCCCGCACGGTCGCTCGGTCGCCTCTTCGTCCAAGAAGTTATCCCCATCATCCGCATCGCCTGCACTCTCCTGGCGGAGATCAGGACGACACGGCCCGGCACCACCGTCGCGAGAGGACACTCTGTCACTCTGTGTGTTTGAAGACACACCCTTCGCGGGCCAGATCCATCTATGCGGGAAGTGCTCTGCCATGCTATGCCTTGACTCATCGAGACCTCCGGCAGGGCTCCAAGCAACCAACAAACCAACGAACCAAGTGACCAGCCATAAGACATCGCGACATGGCCGCCTCTAAGACTTCGCGACCAACTCCAAAGTTTCTAATTCTATCCCAGCTACAGTGGCAAGACTTGGCCTTCCCATATATACAGTATGGTATGGCATACATATGGCTGGTTGAAAAGAGATTAATGTTGACATTTAAAAAAAGACAACACCATATCAAGATATTAAAACAGTCCCATTGATGCCATTGAGTTGTTATGTATCCTCATGTTGGCTGCTTGAGAAGGGGAACCAATGCGGCAGCATTATTAAAAAAAAAGAAAGCACACATGACCCATTCATGGAGTGTCCTGGGTCCCAATCGCTTCCTCTGTCGCCCAATCGCTGCCAAGTCGCTGCCTCTGGTGGATCCGGCTCTGGGTCCGACTCCTGGGTACGGCGGTGTTGGGAGTCGCCAGCCGATGGCGGTGGTGTTGGGGGAGTCAAAACAAAGGGAAGTTAGAACTGGTCCGTTTTTGAAGTGAAAACAGCAATTCAATGCAATTCATGAAGTTGTCCCAAGGACACGTTGATCCGAGATTCTTAAGGAGATTTAAGAAGATGTTTTCAGAGGCTGTATACAGTATCTACTTCTCATCAATAGATCCTTCTTCACTGCATCCCTTCAGACCTACTGCTTGACCAGATCAGACGCGCCCCGGTCGTCGCCGCTGGCACCACCGTGCCTCGTTGTCGCTGTCGCCCTCACTGGTGCTGCGGCTCAACTGGTGAAGCAAGAACTCCAATTGCCTGCGGTGCGTCGGTTCCTTTTTTCAGACCACAACTCCAAACAGATGTTTCAAGCCAACTGGGCCCTTTGTCGTGCAGGAGACCGTCTCTGATGGCCCGAAAAAGCTGGAGACCGCTTTTCCGGTTCGCCTCTGCAGGAGGTCGTTCTCGGGCGACACCCTCTCCAACCTGCCAGAGCGAAGCCGGGCATTTGATCAGTTACTCTGGTGCAAGACAGAAGAACACCCTCTCGTGGATCACGAATCGGCCTTCACATCAAAAGACCCACAGAGCGAGAGAGAGAGACAGAGAGAGAGAGAGAGAGACAGAGCGCGCGCGTGAGAGCGAGAGCGAGCACTGTATGCAAGCAGGCAGCATTCTTACCTCTTTACCATGCTCCCACAATTTGTGTTGCTTTTGTTTACCAGGGTGTCCCTTCAAGAATAGGGCCATATACAGGCTGTATAATGTATAGTCCATAAACGAAGAAACAGAGCAAGACAAATGGCAAAATGATGTGACTTTTCCAGTTCAACTACTTGTGGCCAAGAGTCCGTAACACTACAGTACCCTCCGAGGAGAATCTAAAAGTCGACCTCCTGGAAGACCACTGGGTGTAGAAGGGAAGACCACCTGGCTCGACTCCCTAGAAGAAGGAGAATAGACCAATCTATCTACCATCCCAAACCCCTTAAATATTAAATTCGGTTTTTTTTGGACTCCCCATGGCTCCTCTTTGCCCACAGAAAGAGCCGGTACCAGTTTTGCGTCCCAAACAGGTTCTGATCCCCAAAGGCCCCCCAAAGGCACAAAGCCACATGCCAGCCCCGCGCGGATCGGAACACCGCCTCGCAACGCGCAGGCGCTTGGGACGAGGCACTTGGGCACGTGTCAGGTGTTTGGTGTTCGTGTTCAGTGGTCCGCCAGGCAGCTAGTCAGGCACCAACCTTCGAGAACATGGGTGTTGTAAAAGACTGGCGAGCAGTTTCGAGGGACGCATCTTCTGCTTCGTCAGCGGCCGAAGAGGAAGCGCGCCACCATTCCCAGGAATGGCAGTCTGGTTTAGGGGGGAACGGATTGCTCTATTAGGTTGGAGGCCATCGCTATGAGTCTTTCATATAGTTAAATCATGTTAAATATAATGTGTGTAATACAATAGGGATCCAAGTACCTCCTCAAAAGGTACTTGGACCCTCCAAACCCACCCCAAACACCTTCTCAGAGGGTACTTGGATCCTTAGGGATAATATATAGATTGATATATCCTTCAAGACAAGTCAACATGGTCCTCTAGGCTTCTGCTAAGCAGAAGCCCTCCAGGGTTGACCC